CTTTAGACTCTTGGCACTCTTAGGTGAGCAGACTTAGTCAGCCTGTGTTGCCCTAACATCATGTCAGCTTTTGGTTTCCCTGTACCCAATACTTCACAGCAATGTAGTTGTGCTTGCAAGTCTCTGCATCAGCTCGGGAACTCCATCAGGAGGTTTGCTTCCCTTCAGAAGAATATCTACTATGAGCAAGACTTAGCACACTTACTGGCAAAGGTGATGTGCCTGGTGCAAAACCCTGAACTATAGGCTGACTGTTGAACAGGACCTCTCAGATCCTACAAAACAGGCCAATATGCAATTCCATCTGGTGGTAGGCACTACCAAACTTTGTGAATTCTGGCATGGTACTCTATGGTCAATAGAAGCCCCAGATGAGTGTCTCACACCAATGATTTTCTATGACTCTTGGCCCTGGTTTGTCGATGAGCTGGTCCTATGCTCTGATGGGTGCTATTTTCTGCCAAAGCAGTGGGTACAGTACAGCAGCATGAAGGGAGAAATGGGAGCATTTGGTCATGACATGTATCTGGCTATGGATGGTCCACTCTCCCCAATAGGTGAAGTACAGATTGTACCAGGTGTTCTATACCTGGATCTCACTGTACGCAAACTGCATATGGTGAAGACCTTTCTAAACAACTGGCATGAGCTTGCATCCTACCCCCAAACAGGCTTTCTGAGGTTTGCTGGTGAGTCCTTTCTCAGCTCATGCTATCTAGGAGACTCAAGGCATCCTAGACCGACACTGTGCTATTACCCAGGCAATGCCAAATCCTTGGAGAGGGAGAGTGGATGGTCCCCATGTGTACTTGCTCCCCCTCATGATTTGGGAAGATGTCTCAGGGAACTTCTCAAAACAATGGTACAAACATTACAATGTTTGCACCTCCAATCTAGCAATGCCTTGACAGGAACTCAAGCTTTCCAGCAACATCCAATTCATTGGCACCTCACCTCATGCAACTGCTCTGGAGCTCATGGAGGGGCTGGTCTCAATGATCCAGTAAGTGATCTCCCCTCCCTCATAAGATGGTCAGCCTGGTGAGCTATGCTGACCACTACATCTCCATCTATCCCACTATCAGCGAGCTCTGCTGACCTCTTCCTCCTCTCAGATCAATCAACTCCACTGGACAAGAGGCTTATGATGCAGCTACTTGAGCTCCAGTGCTGTTCATGATGTGGGTGGCAATCCTTGCTGGGGACAATCTAATGCAGGCAGATCTCTGCAGCCATCACAGCTTGAGAGCGAGTCACTTTTGTCAACAGTGTCATGTGGGTGGTACACAAGATTATAAGCACAGTGCCGAGGGATATGCATCCCTATTCCGGGTAAGTCAAGCTTGACTATGTCCCTGGTCAAAGATGCTGATGAGAGGCCATAGCTGAGCATGCCTCATACCTCTTGGCAGACACTGAGTGTGGTTTGAGAACTGCTGGATGCTGCAACATACCCTTGACAAGCAACCAAGATTACAACTTGCTCTCAGAAGACAGGTGTTATGGATAAGTATGCATTGACCATTATTCTGAACTTGTTGAACACAGCAAGCAAGAGATGGAAGGAGGGACAGAGGCATGCAGGGCAGTTGCACATGGAGTTACAGGCAGAACTTGTGGACCATGGCGGAATGGATGCAGTCAACCCTCTGCTTCAATTGTCTTGTATGTGCTCTTGTTTGCTCAGCCTCATCATCAATGCTTAGTCTCTGCCAGAGCTTGAGCTGGGCATTAGGACTCTGAATGAGATCCTACACACCTACTCCCTCGGCCTTGTAAAATACACATTTGGTATCACCATCAATTTTCTGGAGAAGGAGAAGTCTCAAAGCCTGCTCTCCCTCATCAAAGCTTGCCTCGCTTCATTGTGACAAGAAGGATTAAATCTTCCTAAGATTGATGCCAAGTATATCATGGAGCACTGGCATGCTTTGACAGGAAAGCATCTGAAGACTTTGGCGCAGTGTATGCCTTTGGTGCTCTGGGACCTGGTGGAGGCAGAAATGCTGGAAGTGTGGGTAACAATTGGCCTAACAGGTGCCTTGCTGTGGCAGTACAATATCGAGGTCAAAGATATCTACCTGTTAAGCAAGATTGCACATATGCACAGTGTCTCTGCTCTCTGGGAGATGGAGATGTAGTGCTCAGGCAAGAGCATGCTGGGCTCTTCTCATTTCTGACTCTATACCAGCCAGCTGATTTACTCCATCCAGGCTCAGTTGCAAGAAGTGCTCACTGTGCTTGTGCATGCTGTCACCCATTCCTTCTCTTGGTTGCCATCTCCCACAAGATCCTCAGCTTCCATCATCCTGCCACAGAAAAAGAGCTGTAAAGGACATGTGAGGAAGGAACAACGGTTGCTCCGAGTGTGCGATGAAAAGGAAAGGAAAGGCTATCCACTCCGTGCCTTGTGTGGCGCTGATTGCCTAGCTATTCCAATATTAGCATCTCTGTGCCAAATGGTAGGAAGCAGATTGTGTGTTTGCATGATCCAGGGAAAGGTGATGTGCCCTTTTTTATTGGGCTCCTCTGCGGTGTTGATCCACGGCTGTCAGCACAGGAGAATAAAATGTTGTTGAGATGCATTGAAGAGTAACATCCAATATCAAGCAAGTTCAGCACAGAGCATGCCGAGCGCCATTAATATTGAACCCTAGATGAACACAGCCTCTCGGCATGCGGCGGCCGGACGTCGTTGGTGGATGGCTGACTCGGCATGTTCGGCACGTTCCATTATCGGTCAAATCTGGTTTGATTATCTTTCGAAAATACATATAAATGAACATGGCGAAAGTAAATATTTTATCGGTATTCTCCGAGGATTGATTGAAGGAATAAAGGAATTAAGAGAATTCATACACGCTCATGTACATTCCCGGTGTGCTAAGAATAGAACAAGGCGCAGTCAATCAGGGTAATGTCCAATATCCAAAAATAACTGCACACGACACTCAATTTCAATTTCAATTCACTTTTACACAATTTGGAAATGCTGCGCAATAACCCAAACGTTACTTCTCTTGTATCCATATCGTAAGGTAACAGGCAGAACAGGTAACAAGTAACAGGTCGTGTGCTCTTTTATCTCTCTCTCTCTCTTTCTCTCCTCTTCTTTTCCGATTCATCAATGCATCCACTTCTCCGACGTCCCCTCCTTCACATATTTCTCCCCCTCTCCGCTCTCCTCTTCCTCCTAACAACTTCCTACCACCTCAGAACAGATCGTCTCTCAGGATTCATATCCCACCCCGCACAAACAGACCAGGGCCAGCCCGTCTGTCCTGATCCAAGAAATGACCATCAACTCATATGGCCACCAGGACCAAACAGAGATTCCCAGCGATATCTCCTCATCGCCACTTTCTCTATCGCCCCCACACCCCATCTCCGTCCAGTCCCCGTCCTCCCCACACCATGCCTCGACCCATGGTTTGCACACGGCCTGCCTTGTCATCTCCCTCTGCCACCGCTTACAGCAGATCTAATATGGACATGGGTCAACGGCACTGACCCCTTGCAACTCGAGGCTTCTCTCGCTGCTTCCCTCGCCTCGGGCGTAACACCCGCAAAGGGAAAGACGTCCGCTTCTTCAAAACAATACCGAGAGAACGGCGAGCTGAGGTACAGTCTCCGCAGCGCAGTCGCCAACCTCGGCACATGGATTAACAAGGCCTACCTCCTCGTGGGCGACTACAACCTCACTTCATGCGCTCAGCCAACAATGCGAGATGAGAACGGGACGACCCACATCCTCCCAGTAGAACCGTCCCGTCTCGCCCAATTGCCACAGTGGCTTAAGCCTGCCGATGGAGCGACATGGGCCGACGGAAAGCTGCGATTGGAGGCCGTCGCGCATTGGCAGACGGGCGTCCGCACCCAGGTCTTCAACAGCTTTGCGATCGAAGGCGGCCTGGCCCAGCTCCCTGGGTTGGAAGAGTACTTGTGCGTTCCTCACCTCCTTTTCCTCTATCTGGATACCTAACAGCCCACAGTATCTACCTGAACGACGACTATTTCCTCCTCCGACCCCTGCCTCGCTCCGCATTCTTCACCCCCTCCTACGGCCTCGTCTTCCGCTTCCAACCCGACCTGCTAGTACGAGGCAGCTCCACACCTCATTCCTCTTCCACAGGCGAATGGGCCGCACTGGAATACAGCAACTACCTGCTCAACGCCCGCTTCGGCCCCCGTGATAGGCCCTACGTCGTCCATGTCGCCAAGGCAATGTCGCGCCCCCTGGTGGAGGAACTCGAGCTGGCCTGGGAGACCGAGTTCCGGGAAACGAGAGAGCATGTTTTTAGGAGCAATAGAGATGCCTACCTCGGATTCCTCTTTCCGCATTACACGATCGAGCGGCACCGGGAAGCGCTGTTGTGGAGCTTTGTTGTTGCCCGGCTTGGGGGAAGGGGGGACGAGTGGGGCGAGGAGCAGATGGAGGCTGCTTGGCGTAGGTTGGGCGGAGGCGAGGCAGAGGAGTATTATGCCGACTTGGACGTTTGGAGGTTGCCGAGGAGCACGCTGGAGCCGGCGAGGGTGCGCACGGTAGTGGGGGAGGACCTGAGGGGCACTGTGTACAAATTTTGTGAGTGCGTCGTTTATCCCTCTGGGCAGGGCTGACACATTCTAGCATCACACGACGGTTACCCGTACACAGCACCAATGTACGTCTCCAAATCCTTCCCTTCCTTCCCCCTGCCCAACAGTCCCCCCGCGTTAACCAAAGCCTGCACATTCGAGTTCGAGCTCTGCCTCGGGACGGAAGGTGAGTCAAGCACCCACGCAAGCGCCGTCTTCAAGCGCATCGCGTTCGAGATCCCACGGTGTGGGGACTGCCTTATCACTGCCCTGGTGGGGCAGAGCGGTGAGCTCGGGCTGAGCGCCTTCCTCCCTCCGCCTGACGCGCAAGAGGAGCTGTCCCCGGAAGTTGTACCTGTTTTGCCCCTCTCCTCAAGCTGGGAAGAACCGTCCTTTGCCCTCTCCTCCGTGCTTCCCCCTCACACCAGCCTACGCGCCTTTGTCATCTCTCTCCTCTCCCGGTACACGTACACCCTCGCCTCCACCCCAGTCAAGTTCGCCTCCCTCCGCACTCCTCTTTCCACTCGACAGGTACTGGCCCAGATCGATAAGGAGAACGACCTCGAGATGGTTTGCTTAAACGATGATATCACGACGCGAGAAGCGGAGGTGAGGACGTTGGCGGGAGAGTGGATGGAGCGCCGATGGGCGAGGAAAGCAGGCTGGGAAGAAGGCGGGTGGTGGTAGGAACCTTCGATCCAGCCGACCCCTCCTCGTGCGGCAAGTCGCCGATCACATGAAAGCATGGTTACACTGTCCTGTCCGTCCGACATTGTCCTGATCTCGCCCTCATACGCAAGCAAGGAAGCAGACACTGTTGTATCACTATCTCGTCCCCATCCACAACCCTTGATACCGTATCCTCTCACTCATTTTCTCTTTCAATCCCGTAGTATCGGTGTACCGATGGCACACGCGTATCCCCGGGTCGGGGTTCGTGTCTGCAGTTCGGTTAGGATAGCTTAGAGACGTGCTCCGCATGAATGGGTGTTGTTTAATATCGATCAATGGGAGCTCGATCAGAACGAAAACGAACAAACAGAATAAATGAGGCACAAGCGTATAAGTACATGCGAAGGTGTGCCATAATTATATATTCACCCCACAAGGACCGTCTACCGACAGGCGGAAACGAGGGAGTGGGCCGATTATCCCCACCTCTGAAACATCCCCGGATCCAGCCCATCCTCTGGTAGTCTCACGGGCTCGTCGTTCCTCAGATGAAAGTTGGGCCAATACATCATTGGCGACCGTTTGTAGTCCACCTTCCACTCCCCGGTGTCGCCTGGCCCTGTACCCGCACCGACGCGTGGGTCACCACGTACCCAGTTGTCCACACATATCAATCTTGGAAGCAGCTCCCCCAGCCGTTGCACTGCCATTCCGGGCGACATGGGGGAAGCCGGGTGTTCGAGGAAGAAGGACTTGAGGCATCGGAGGTTTGGGTAAGAGAATGCGAGCATTTGGAGGTACATTGGCTATTCGACCGTTAAGCTGTGTGCCTGTGGGGAAAAGGGAAACTGGGCGCACAGTTATGTAGTTCACCTTCCCCGGCCGAGATGGCAGGTGGGTATAGCCCAGGGTGTGCACGTTAGGTAGCAAGGATCCCAGACGCGCAACTTCCTCCAACGTCCACAAGCGATGTACCCGCACGACTCGAATCGTGCTCGCGAATGCAGCAATCTTCGGAAAAACGACGGTGCTCATGTTCTCCGGTCGGACTGTACCGAAGTCAACCCACTCCAGCGGTCGGTATGACCCGTCCGACAGCGGGTTCACCACGTCCCACATGGCTCCTCCGTCCGGACAAAGCTTGAGACGCTTCAGATTCGGGAGTGCGTCTTGTAAGAGGAACGTCGGTGCAATGCAGCAGAAGTGGATCGATTCGAGCGAGGAATTGTGTTTCAGGAAGAGGTGGAGTGCGTCGCTATGGATGACCCAGCCAATGTCGCACGCAATATCGAGAGAACGAAGCCTGGGGAAAGTGCACTTGAACAGCTCGTTGAGCGTGTACTCAACCCAGGTCAATCCCAAATGCTCCAGGCTCGTGCATACGGCAGCTATAGAAGTGAAGACTGCACAAGAGAAGCTATTCCAGACGTTTTCAGGGACGTTAGCTGGTATCGAATCAGACGCCGTTCAGTAATTAGTATCGAGCTGCGTACCCCAGTCGCTGAAGTTGCCTCTGAAGCTTCTCAAACGTGCCGCTGGGGATATCGACTGCAGGCTAGTTAGTCAATATGAGGTTCCAAAATTGCAACTACGCACCGCTGGAGCGAAGTGTGTCTTCGTCAGCTTTATGCCTTCTTCAATGGAGAGGTCCAGGAACAGATCCGTAAGCGACCGACATCTATCCGGTACGCTTCGAAAGATATGCGCCACGTTTCCATCCCCTTTCAACTTGAGTCCGTCAGTGCATAAGAAACAAAGATTTGACATCTCTTTCAGTGCTGCGTTGATCAAAATCGGGTCGTACTCTCGATTCAGATGACCTTGGGCGGCGTGTGCCCGCCAGTAACGTAATGGTGCATTTTCTGAGGGATAATCTTCTAATGGTGGGGGGTCAACCAAGTGTAGGTGTCGTATGCTCCGCGCAAGACGGCCTTTGTCCGCTAACTGCCGAAATGCGTCTGCGTTGTTGATCGTGATGGAGAGATAACAACATTGCAGCGGCCCCAGTTCGAGATCAGGCGCTGGCGAAACTCGTTGCTTGAACACCTGGCAGGTGGCAGACAGCGCCGCAAGGTCTCTCGGTGTGTCAAGTTGACCGATGACTTCGTCGACCAGCTCGGCCGGGAGTTTGTCAAGCATGGAGGTCGCAAAATCGGCGAGATGACCGAAAAAAATTACCAATCAGGGAACGTTGTTATTGTCGCCTTTGTTGAGCACTGGTGAGAAGTAACACGACGTCTGCAGCTGCATGAGCAAGACAAAGGTCGCCAGGTGGCTGTTGAGAAGGGAAATATTCTGTGGTCAAGTACCAGACACCGGGGTGACGCCGTTTGCCCTCCGTGTGTTAGTTCAGCGCACCGAGGATCAGAACCCTGAACCGTAAGACCTGCTCGTGCTCCACCAATCGCGATACACTCGGTCTGAATAATGGCTGGATTTAGTGCGCTGCCAAGCTGATGCTGTAAAAAGCAACAAGCGCGTGGGCTGACTTCACGTGAAATAGGACCGTTACGCCTTCGGTGGGCTTCGGTGGGCTTCTCTGATGAGCCAAGAGGAGAAGCGCTTTCAGAGACTTGCTTCCGCTTCTGGCCTGAACTATGCTCGGCGACGCCTTCAATTCAAAAGTCTCGTAACACTCTGCTCTCACCATTCCCATCTTCATTCGAAGTTCAAGCCAAATCAAAATGCCACTCTAGAGCATGCGATGTCTGTCAATGCGCTGTCGCCGCTCACCATTCACGTCAATTTACGGACCGGCCGGGAGAGCCGAAGCAAAGCTGCATTGCAGGCTTCCCTTCTTTCCATCAATTCCGTCAGGCCACCACCTCTAATTCTCACGGCTGCTGCAGAAACTCTCGAACAACGCCACTGCTCTCCTTAATCTTTCTCACTATGGATACGATCTGATTTCAGGGCATGAGATATTATTTGCCAATCCTTTTCAAAAGGAGCGACCGAGGGAACAAAACCTAATCAGGGCCGTACAGAGTGTTTACTCGAATGGATACAAGGGCCTTCGTTCATCAATGATTCGGTCGGATTCGGGTTCACTACCCGAACTCGAATAATTCCTCGAAATGCTATTAACGCCAAGAGACTGCTCAACACGGTCATTGACTACGGGCTGTCGAACACCATCTGTTTCCCTAGAAGTGTGCAGGAATTACGTTTAGAATGACTTCCTGGCCAACCGATGTCGCGGAACTGGTATCATATTGTTCTACCTGTGACCACAGCGACTTAACGCGACTCCATGCCTGTTGCGTTCTCGGGAGATAATGGCCCTTCTTAGATGTGTAAGCGCACAAGACATCGATCCGATATGTTCGCTAACAACGTGGGTAACAGGTGGCCACGCGGGACAATTATATGCTCCTGCCTGATATACTGTAGGGCACGTGGGGCCGCCCCTACAAGGAAATGGGCCTCGTCAGCTGGCGCGGTGTGCAAGGTGCCGGACATTCGTGTCTGACCAACCTGGTTTTAGGCTTCTGCGTCAATCCACGGCGCCATCTTCCATCATTAAGACAAGTCACGTGTGTGGAGATCATAACGCACCCTTACCAACGCTCTCAGTGAATGTGGTTGGCAACGTACAGTCTTCAGAACCACATTGACACCGACAAACTGATGTCCTCGGCCCTCGTTGCATGCCACCATCCCAAGGGGATGAACAGCATATCCCCTGGTTCGAGCACGCAACACATGGCGTGAGGGAGGACCTTGTCCCTGAACAGCGGCTTGTCCGCGGGAGGAGGGGAGAAAATATCGATGGAGGTGGTGTTGTTGAGGGACGTGGAGGATGGGGGCTTGGAAGGAAGGTTGGATGAAAGGACAAGGCGAAACGGATACATCTCTCGCCTGAGGGTCGGTGGTGCGAGCCATATGGTTTTCCTGCCAACAACCTGAGCTGATTTGGATGCCAAGGTGTTAGACGTGACATGTCAGAATACGACGAACGCTTACTGTAGAAGTTATAGTATGGATCCTGGCACGGCGTCAGGCACCCTCGTGGAAGAAGGGGGGCCAGGGAGGACTTACGGTATGTGCGGGGGAGGTCATTCCTTTTGGCCCCAGCCAATTGTTGAGAAGATAGCCCTCCTCGTTCGATGGTGGGCGGTACTCCGGGACAGCTTCACCGACATTGGCATACACATAGTCCGGAATCTGGATATCGTCCCGGAGCTTATGGAACTGCCGGAACATATTATACTGCGCGAGATATACTGGTCTCGGGTCGTCACTGCCGCCCTCGAGCATACCGATGCGTTTGAGGAATTCTTCCCATTCCATGAGCTCCTGAGTCCAGTCATCATTTCTGTAGTCAGCACCGACCTCAACGGGCACAACTCTACCAGGGCCAGCGACGCTCAGCAGGTAGCTCGCCCGACTCCAATCGTGCTTCTCCTTCATTGCTGGCCAGTCCCGCGCCCACGCGGGAAGTATGAACGGGGTTGACGACATGCGCTCGAACGCCGCCATAGAGGGAGCTTTGCTTAGTCTGGGTACGGGTATCGCGTGTGCAGGAGCAGGGAGGACATCCTCACGAACGGGCGAGGGAGCCACGGGCGGCGCAGACAAGCCAACATCGTAGGCACTCTGTATTCCGTAGATGAGATCGTGGACAATCTCCAACCTCCCCTCCCCCGGAGCACTGGCAATGATGATGACCATGTCCAGCCCTCGAACCCAGTTGCCCCAGTCCGGCTCCGGTACCTGACCGTTCGTGCACTCCTCACGCAGCTGGGCCGCATGGTATACCGCAGCACATACAAGGGCAAGGGTTGCATCGGTGTACAGGCGTCTCCAGCAGTAGCGTACTTGCGAGTGATGCACGCTCGTCATGCGCGCATAGGCGAGGGCGACGAGCTTAGCCAGCTCGTCACCTTGCTTCTGGTAGTCGTCGCAGCGAAGACTGGACCTGAATCGCGCAAGGATGTCAGGTCCACATTGCATCAAGTCTGCAGCACGGTAAGAAATAGCTGAGGAGTCAGCAATTGCGTTACGAACCGTTCTTTTCTGTGTTCGTGTCTTCAGCGAGCACCGCGAGTGTATCTAAGCATCTCTGGGCGCAGCGAATAAGCGTTAAGCAGTTCCCCATCCACCAAGCAGATATAGTATCGAAGAATCCTGGGACAAATAGGGTATGAAAGCGATCTTTCGCAATATAATGTGGTGGTTGGGCGGCAAGAGAAGGGATCAGAATAATATTAATGCCGACCGGCACGAGATGCCCGATGTAAGCGGACCCTGGAAGTGTACCGCCACAGCGGCATGGATCTGCTTCTCTGCTTGAAGCAAGTCTACCTAGTCGCGCCTCACTCCCTCTATGGCATTGTTCCTCCACTATGCGCGATTTCTCAGTACATCTAATCCGTCTTTTGCGGCTCGTGGACCGCACCGCTGACATCAACTGTTGCTTCAACTGGGCGCAGCACTGGAATGTCGGCACACCGCGTCTCATTCATGCTCCACACCGATTCCTTGAGCGCATCCGAGTACCTGGTCCAAACTCCTTCCTCAGCACGTTGCGCGCTGCCCATTAGTGGTGTTGATGTGACGCATGCACGAAAATATTCCCTGTTGCTGTGCTTTGACTGACTTCAGATCCGACAAGATCGTGATGTTCTGCCATCTCCCAAGGTTCTCACCACGGAAGACGGACGAACCGTACCCTCATTCATTCATTCGCTCTAAGATCATCGAACGCCGGCGTGAGCTTCAGTTCCGACAACACCGGAGCTTGGAGGTCACATCCGTGCTATAAAAGCTTGATCATTGTCACTCAATGTGTCGTCTCAGACACATTTCGATCTACCTCCTTCACCAACTGCCCTCTCCCTGTTACAATTCACAGCTGGTTCCAACATGCTCTCTCTCTGTTCGTTGATTATCGCTCTCGTCACTGCTTCAGTGTCCGTTGCGCTGCCACACGAGGCTCGCACTGTTGAGCTCTCGGAGCGCCAGGGACCGAGTGGCTACGTCGTCTATCCTCCGTGCGAAGGTTTTCTACCCAATAATATTGACTGTAATCTCACACTCAGACAGTGGTGGTACTTCGTTCGACATCATCGGCGGCGGCGGGCCCAACGGTGGTACGTCTTCACAGTTCCTAGCCCTTCCGGTCGTTTGACGCCTGGATGATATAGGGGTCACCTACCTCAACATCCAGTACCAGGGCGTGAATCTACAGGACCCATACGTGCAAACGGTCGGCATCGATATCTACTTGCACGATCCTACTGGTCAACAGGCTGATAGCTACGTTCGTGCCATCTTCCACAACCAGCGTGTCTGACTGAATCGGGTATTTTGCAGTTGACGTACGAGTTCGCCAGCGACCCGAGCGGCACTTTGATTGAGGGATATTTCGTCCCCGCCCTCTGCGGTGACTTCGGTACGCTGCGATACTCTCTTTTAGGCGATACTGCCCTTTGCTGATCCTAGTACGACAGAACTTGTATTTATCGAGCACCAGAACATGGGAAATTTCGGCGACATCATCAAATTCAAGGCTGCCGCCCCGTCAATCACGATCGTTTGTTCGCCTGAGCAGCGTTGAATCAACCAATAGCGAGGCATTCTGAAATGGACTTTTAACGATTGTTATGTATTTAACTGATGTGATGTTGCCTTCCCCCTGTGAAATGGAGGGATCGGTGCCTCTGGGTGCCGTCAACTTTGAAGACATATATCCGGTTCAGTGGAGGGGTAAGGGCTTCCGTGGCATCGATCATGTGCTGCATTTGCCCATTCCTCCTCACTAAGAGGTTCGAAAGATTATCTGAAATACGTCTCCGTTTCGCTACTTCATCTAGACTACGGCTAGGGTTATGAGGTGACATATAGGAGAAAACCTTTATTTAAGGACGCGACGGGAGCTAGTTGTACGGAAGCGGATTGCCTAACCCTTCCTCCTATGTCATCCTACGTGTAGAGATGGGTGAAGGGAAGATGAGTGCAATCTCCCATGGGGATCAATTGATGCTCAATGTGAGTATGTTCTAGACGGGTTCAATGCTGGAGGACTGACGGCAGCTCGTTGATTAGGCAGACGAATACCCAAGCCCGCCTTCGATCAGGAGAGTGATCAACACTTCCAAATGGATGTCCGACTCCAATCGCTGCCTACATCCGAATCCGTCGGGCTACCTTGCTCCCTCTCTCTGCATACGCAAGACCTGGCGTACTTCGATTTGGCTGAAGCCTGTGGGATTGCTGATCGGCTTGCATCGCTCCCTGCATATGCGACTGGTCTAGGAATGGAGGAGGCTACGCGGGATCACAAGTTGGAAAAGCGCGACTGTCGATTCATGAATCGCAGAAGTGACCACGAATTTGGTCGTCGCAGTTCCGACCCGCCCTCTGTATCTCACGATGGATGTTCGACGCAACATGCTCTCATCAGGAACGGAATCCCGGCCATACAGATGACTTTCCCATAGCGCATGCCGCACTGAAAGTCACGGACAAACCCAGGAATGACCTGGCGGGCGCTTCGACATGGCAATAACCTAAGGAAGTGAACCTGCTCTAGCATTGGTTCTTGTTATGCTCTCCCAACAACAACTGTTCCTCTCCATCCCCTATTCTCTCCTTGACAAGTGACAGCAACACTGAGACACACTACTCGACCGACATCGGTTCAAGCGAGTCAGAATTCACCATCTTCAACTGCACGAATACATCACTGATCACGAAACATGATTTGGAAAGATTATCCAAACAAGCCCGCCACCGCATCTGGAATGCCAATAACCTGGTATGCTCTTAACGCCACAACCTTCCCATTCCTGTTGACCGCATTCACCCTCTTTTGCTCCTTGATCTGCTTGAGAATTCGTTTTCTTGTTTCTCCATCGGCTGTGCTCAAGGAATCCTGAAGCGCTTGGAGCGTATCTTTCCCTGTCTTCTTCGTGTGCGATGCTTTCTCGAGATTTCTCTCCGCGTTCTTCTTCTCCCATCGATTCGCAGCCTCGTTTGTTTTTCTTACAACCCCTACATTCCGCTGCACGGCGTCTTTTCTGGTCTTGAGGTGTTGTTGTGCCTCCTCGTGCGCTTGACGAGTTTGCTCAGTACGCTCCCTTTTATTGGTTTTGTTCGCGACATCAGCCTTCTGCGTGGCTTGGACCACCTTCGTCCGAAGCATTCGATGCGTTTCCAGGGCATGCTGGTGCTCCTGTTTCAGTCTTTCGCCCTCTGCCTCGTGTTTTTCTTGCGTAGCGGTGTCGCTATCAGAGTCTGGCAATTGGTGGTAGGATGTTTTGGGACCTTCCGACCAGAAGTTTGCTATCCGGAGCTTTTTTCCCAAACTTCCCCAAACGCTCGGCTTTCCGTCGCCGCCCCGGGCAACGAGCGCCCTGCCGTCGTCAAGTTCTTCCCTGAGGGCCCCATCTCTGCATTTTTGATTAGCGGCAACATCTTTGCAGGTTGAAGGATTTACCCACAAAACATGTCCCTCGTCAAAGTGCGCAATATCAGAGGGTGCCGGGATCGGGTGTGCAAAAATAACAGTCGCAGAGAGCACAAGGAGTGCCAAGCGTGCGTGCATAGTAACCGAACGATATGATAGGAAAGATCGTATGTAGAAATAGTGGAGGGGTGGAAAGGAATATATGGGGGATGTTCTAGTGACCTGCACTTTAAGACCAGCTTTGGGGCCAAAATGCGAGAATGTCCTCGTGTTTATATATATTGGTGAGCTTACAGGCACAGCCGCAAGGTGATTATGGAAACGTGGGCTGAGGATGTACGCGAAGTATCGAAGGGGATTTCCACTTCATGAATTGAAAGTGGTAGCCAGCGGACTCGGCAAGTTCATTCATACAGGACGAGGCCTGACTCCTCAGCTGATCTCCTGCACAGCCATTGTATATATTGAGTTGACACTGTCATCCAATATTATTCCTTACTGCACGGCCATCACGTAGAAGCGATGTGAAGCGTAAGTGCTACTTTTCGGGAGTGAGTGAAATGTCGTGGTTTTGCCGTGCAGGTGAACACGTGGAGTTCTCAGCGGAACCACATCTTAGAGCAACTGAGTGCTTATCTCCTGCACAGCCATTGTATATATTGACACTGTCTCTCTCACACTTAGATACATGGAATGAACATCAGCAAATGAGAATCAACAATCAAAAGAAAACGTACTACGAAGCCAAAGACAGGATCACGAAGTTGCGCCGATTGGCTCCAATCTCCTAATCAAAAGCCTGCACCTGCGCAACCCTGGCTCGCAAGAGAGGTGGGCAAAGACAAGGTGAGGCTTCTCGCGGGAGAGACTACGTCAATTGGCCGAACTTGTTGCTCAGCTGCTCTGGACCGCAGTTTCAAATACTATTCTGCGCATTAGCTCCTTACTAGTAGGTGGAGACCGATGCGTGTCACTCGCCCGTTATTAGTCGCAGCCTTGTGGGTTTCCACGGTTACGGCGATGAGGCATGCGCGACGCCGCAGGCAAGGAATTCATCCAACTTTAGAAACCAAGGATACGGAGAGGATTATGCAATGACGAACTTACCCCCATCCACGGCGACGGGTGGCAATGAGAGGAAGAGGCAAAGCAGCAATATCGAACACTGAGGTGGTTCGGCACTGGATGAGTATTCCCGCATTGCCCAGTCCCGCGGTCACAAAACTTCGATCAAGCAAAAACGGCGAGAAGATAAGATTCGGACCAGAGTTCATGCACTGCCAGATTAACTATGTTGAAGCAAATATGAAGAAGCCGGGGGCAAAGCCACGCGCAAAAAGCACGTGGTTCACGTGGCACCACGTGTGAGTAAGGAAGTAAATCCGGACCCTAAGTCCAAAATTGGAAGTGGAACTAAATCTGCTTCCACTGCGGCAGTGCGGGTCCCTAGGAGGGGTTACTTAACCCTGGCCCTTTTTAAACCCTACCTCTAACCCATATCCCCAAATATTCAACATAATGAAGAGTAATTGAAGGAGGGTGGTGTTGTCCCCCCCCATGAGACATGTCGGAGCGTGGGTGGCGCAGCCTCCACCCATACAAGCAAAGTTTTCCCAGGGACGACACATCATCTTTGCTGTTCTACAACCACCACATTGATGTGGTGGTATTGCCAATAGTTCTTGCTTCACTTTTGCCTTCTGCCTGCTGTGGACAGCCTGCTGGCTGACCTGCAGGTGTCAACAATCTTGGTTGTGTCTTTGTGATGGGTATCCGGATGTGAGACAAGCTGCGAAAGCACAGGAGCACAGCCACTCAGGCTGGGAAGGACCAGAACTGGGTAGCAGATTGTCAGGAGTTTGGGAGGAGGGGAAATGGTGTGCTCTATCATGCTGTTTTTCCCACACCTCTGGTCTAACCCTGTACTCAGACATCAACATTCTTTCCTCCCTCCTGGACACCTTTCCCAAGGGGCCACAGAGCAATGGGGCTGTCATTGACACCCTGACAACATTATTCACCAAAACTCTGCTCCCTGCTCCCCTTCCTTCTGCTCCTCTCCAAGGAGACTGGATCTACCATGTTCAACCTACATCTCCTCTCCCTCCTGGCATGCCAACTACACCCCCAGTCTTTTGTATTCACCATGCTATTCCTCTTGATGTCTGCAGGGTTATGGCATGGTTCCTGCCTGCTCTCTATGCTACCAATCTGACTCAGCATCTGCATAACAATGACACCTATCACTCTGCTATTCCTGCACTGCATGTGGGTGTCTGGCATTGGTCTAGCAGCATTCCAGCCTTCTCTCAGGACACCCTTCATCAGTCTCCTTCCACCATCAAGTATATCAATTGCATGATCAAGTATCTATCAGATGTGGTGGGGAAGTGAGCTATGCAGCTGCTAGCCAGCCATCAGCCTGCAGTTGCAGAGGAAAGGCAAAAGTGAGTTTCAATCAGATGTGGTTTGTTCTGCCTCTCACACCTATCTAGAATTCTGGATCATACCTACTCCCACCCAGCATTGGCTGACACTCTGATGGCTCATCCAGCACTTTGGCAGTGTGCCTGGCATATGTTGGCCTGGAGAGCAGGCTCAGCCTTTGTGCCACACATTGATCTTAATGATGATCTGCATCAGTACACCATCCTCTTTGTCTTTGGCAACTTCACCCATGGCTATTTGGTGCTTCCTCAGCTTGGCATTCAGATTCCTTTGAAGCCTGGTCAACTGCTCTTTATCAACACCCGTCTCTTGGTCCACCATGCAACCCACTTCAAAGGAGTTAGGTATGTGTTCCCAGGCTTCATGGACAGTACCCTTTGCAAAGACTATAGAAAGACTACAACCTCTGCATAGTATAGTCTTCAGCTCCTTAAATGATATGCCTTATGCATCTTTACTGTGTTTAACTGGCATTCAAATGCTGATTCCTGCTGTCTCAAGGTCTGATAGCTAGAACTGTGGTGGTCACATGCACTGGATAGTGGACGTTTCAGTTCAGCCCTGAGGATGGCAGGCAAGACAGGGGATGACACAGCAGGACCCAGGTTCAGCCACAATAGTAAGTCATAGTATCAAATGGAGGCTGGACATGGGAACAATATTTTTTTGTAGCAAGCATCCATCCCTGCTTCAGCATTGCACCATCATGTCCATTATTCTCACAGCTGTTGGGGGCTGCTACGACTGGCAAAAGTCACCCATTCCTGCATGCACACACACTTGCAGCATTGCCTTGTGTTAGGGCAACACAGGCTGACTGAGTCTGCTCACCTAAGAGTGCCAAGAGTCTAAGCAGGCAACAAGGAAGTGGAGTAGACCTGATGACTAAGACCTATCTACAGTATAGGTATCTGTGGATGATCCTAAGAGACCAAGTCTGAAGAGACAGTCCCAGGCAGAGTAGGCCTTATATTTATACCTCTGTGGTGGAACCTGCTAGAACATCTTGCTTACTCAGCCTAGTCAGGTGATCAGGTCATATGACCAA